TTGGGATGACCACTTGCCTCTTATTGAGTTCGCAATACAATAATAGTTATCATTCCAGCATCGGGATGGCACCTTATGAGGCTTTGTATGAGAGAAAATGTAGATCCCTCATTGGATGGTTTGAAGTAGGTGAGTCAGGATTGATTGGACCCGACTTAGTCCAGCAGACAGTGGAGAAAGTTAAGCTCATTCGGGAGAGGTTACTAACTGCTCAAAGCCGACAAAAGTCATACTCAGATGTGCGACGAAGGGACTTAGAGTTTTGTGTCGACGATTGGGTATTCTTAAAAGTATCGCCTATGAAGGGTGTTATGCGATTTGGCAAAAGGGAAAGCTTAGTCCAAGATTCATTGGGCCATATCGAATCCTTCGGAGGGTATTCGTTTTATACAAACTCTCGCTTTATACAAACACATGCATTTTATACATTTGCGTTTGTATAAAAGCGAGAGAGGCGAGGGAGAGAACGAGAGTGGCGAGCGAGATTCATCAGGAGAGAGGCGAAATAGCAACAGTTTGCTATGGGGTTCAGTTAAATCAAGCTATATTTATAGCATTTAATTTGAATTAATAATTTGCTATTATATATAGGTTTTCCTATTATTTTTTATCATATTAATTTATATTGCTTAAAAATTTCAGCAACTGTCACATATATCGAACACAAAAATCATATTTGTATGTTATAGCTATAGTTTGCATAATTGCGTTCCATAGCAAACATAAATATGTTTATTTCGCTATGCATATACAAAAAAAACAGTTGTATATAATCTGTTTCTGTTTTGGATACATATACAGAAGATCAATTGTATAATCTGTGTTTGTATAAAGCGAGAAAGAGATAAAGGCAAAAAAGATCTGGGCAGAGGAATATTTGTATTGTATAATTATAAGTGTATAGGACGAAGATATATGTATTTGCATGTGTATGTACAATTTTCTCTCGCTTTATACAAACAGAAACGCAATTTATACATTTATGTTTGTATAAGCGAGAGAGGCGAGGAAGAGACTGGTGAGCGAGATCTAGGAGAGTGGCGAGCGAGATCTGGGAGAGGGGAGAGAGGGGATGAAAATATATTTATATATACAATTTTCTCTCTCTTTATACAAACACAAACATATTTTATACATTTGCGTTTGTATAAAAGCGAGAGAGGTAAGGGAGAGAACGAGAGTGGCGGGCAAGATTCACTAGGAGAGAGGCGAAATAGCAACAGTTTGCTATGAGGTATAATTAAATCAAACTATATTTATAGCATTTAATTTGAATTAATTGTTTGTTATTATATACAATTTTCTCTTTATTTTTTACATAAATATTTAAAAACTTGATATTCAATATTATACACCCAATACACAATATTTACTCTATTATATAAAAAATGAATTTCATTTTCTTCCTTGAATTCAAGCATCATATTCATCTAAAAGCAACTCAAACCCTACATCGAAGCACCAAAAAATTCATATTTAGGCTCTCCAATATGGAACTGATCTTTTGCAACAATCTCACTCAAAATGGAGCTTATTTCGAGCTTCAACAATGGTTGTTTATTGCTTCAACAAAGCATGATTTAATATGTATGTTTTTCCAAAAGTATGGGTCATTAGCAATCACTCAACTATATATACATATATGATCATTCCTTTTACTCTGAACAAGCAAAGCAAATAAATCAGCACCTTCATCGGAGAAATCATCAGCGACTTAGCTATCACCGAATTCCTGTAATAATAAAATCACATTTGAGAATTTCAAAAGGATGGGTAGAGAATGAAATATGGGAGGAGAGAAAGAGAGAAAGTGTGTTTTGAGAGTGTAGGGAAGAGAGATGAAAGAGAGATCTCAATGGGTTAGTGGCTGAATTTGGTAAAGTTTAAAAACATTGGCCCATTTTGACAACGTATGTACTAAAGTCAATTGTAATTTAAAATAGGGAAAATTATGAGGTTACTGATTGTTGAGAGACTGATTTATGAAAGCCCGGTGAGGCCTCAATCGACTGCCTTTCTTCGTTCTGCAGCGGTTTTCAAGCTAGCACCCATTTCAGCATATCATCTCGCTCGATTAAAAAAAAATAAAGAAAGAGACACAATTTTTTATTATCCAATTCTATATCGAAAACGAATAGTTGATCCCACGAAAGCAACGCTGGCTTTGTTGTGGGATCCAAAGCAAATTTATACTACTTAATTACTCATCATAACTATAGTTTGTTATAATTACCACTCGCGACTAACATTAACCATTAATTTTGTGGGCTGACTTCGAGTTTGTATAATTAGTCATATTTGTATAATTCGTCACATTTGTATAATTCGCAACTAACAATTTTTCGTTTGATTTGTATTTGTATACGATGGTTTATATTTGTATATGACGATGATTTCCTTTGGTTTTTCAGTTTTGTCATCATATACATTCAATCTTTTTGTGTATAACTTTTTAAAGTTGGTATAAACGTGTAGTTTTTGAATTTTGTATAATATAATTTATATAATGTAATTTGCATAATATATTTTGTATAATTGTTTAAAGTTCATATGTTTATGTTTGTATCAATTCGTTATTTCAAGTTTTATCATATTTGTATAATTCCAGACTTTTTATTACTCAATTATATCAAAACACATGAATTATACAAATGTACCTGTGAATTATACAAACGAGATGCGAATTATACAAATTATTGCCCTTTCTCGCTCGCCTCTCTCATCTCTCTCCCAATCTCGCTCACCTCTCTCCTCCCTCTCCCAATCTCGATTGCCTCTCTCCTCCCTCTCCCAATCTCGCTCGCCACATATGTATAATATACAATTATCTAACTGATATACATATACAATTCACCTCCCTCCACTCTCTGCCCTCTCTCGCTCGCCTCTCTCCTCCCTCTCCCAGTCTCGCTTGCCACTCTCCTCCCTATAACATGTAGCTACAAATCGTAATTAGCAAACTATAGTTATGAAGCGTAATTAGGCTATTTTTGTTGAGTGGCTATATGCGAAAGTTCATCTTTAAAAAATATATACAATTAACTAACTTACATTGTAAAAGTATAGCCCAAAATTTACATAACAAATCTGTAGCCCAAAACACAATCTGGTATATATGCAAACCTTCATATATATATTTATTTAAAATATTTAGAAACTTGATGTACAATACTATACATCCAATATAAAATATTATAAAAATTTATA